CACGTCTGGCCGAATGAGGGTGCGGCAATCGTAGGATCATGAACTTGAAATCCTATTTACCAAAATTTTGGCATTCTCACTGAATTCCGGACCATGGACTTAAAGATCTATTCACTCCGGTTTTGTATTTTTACTTAGCTCCGAGGGACTGACCTCATTTGATCAGTCAAAAAGGTTGATCGACTAAGTTGGGTTGACTAGCAGAATGAGCCTGGTCTAGATGCTGCCAACAGGGATAAAAGACTTAAGAAAGTGCAAAGAGGAAGATTAAAAAGTGTCGACGGCTATCCCTGGGGCTTATTCGAAGTGAAGTATCAAAGTGGACAAAGGATACATGCAATGGCCGCAGATGATAATTTTGGGATAAATTCATTTATCCCAAAATTAGGGGGCATGTGTTGACACCGAAATTTGGTTCAGGACATGAAGACCTAGAGTTTCGGAGTTTATTAAAGAAAGCCAAAATATTCAACAAAAATCGGCTAACCGGGTTACCATCAAGATCGGCCAAATGACAATGACGTTATCCCTTGGATAAACTTCAACAGACGATAGATGGTGGCAGAAAGGCAGGAAGACACGTCGGACTCCATATAACGGGAAGATTGGGGTCCAAGTTATCATAATTTAGGAAATTTTATTTTCTTTTCCAAGTTTTGTAACCAGTCTTGTTCGACTAGGACTCGTAGTCAAGTCTCGGGTATAAATATCGGACCCTGGCTATTGTAAAGAGACATCCACATATCAATCAAAACAAGTACCTTCACTTTTTTGGCCCTGTGCCACCCTTAAGAGTAGGAGTATAGTAGATTCCGGCGAGTTCCTCCAGCAAGCAAGGCTGCGTCGGTTTGACCGACCTCTGGTTTGTTGTAAGTACTGTCACGACTTATACTTTGCTTGTAAGGCTGCATCGGTCCGACCGACCTCTTGCTAGCTTGGTATAAATTAGTTATCGATCTATATTGTTATTGTAAGGCTACAATGATCCGGTCGATCTCTTTCAGGTAGTAATATAGATTAGTTATCGATATTGTGTTAAATAGTTTACTATTCAGCATAATATCACCAATTGCTCGATCTAGATTAAAGATTCCTCGGTCTTTATCTTTTGATCTATCGTCTGTCGATTGTTTTATGCTAAAATCCAACTTTTGACATTAGATCCCGTATATCGACCGTCTTATCTTGATCTTGATCGATCATAGTGGTGTTTGGAGCCCTGTTTCCATTAAGGAATAGGTATGTTAGTCATCAATTTTCGGTTTGCTGTTTTCGTTATCAACCTATTGGTAGCGCACTAGATCGGATATTGTTGGTTAATAGATCTACTTGTTAAGGGGGATATGACATCATCCATCCGCTATGTTTCTATCCGCTATTTTAGAAGATAGCTTGAGCTTTCACGCGTATGGCACGCGTCCATGATTCCATCAAAACATAAGTAGATCGCTAGGATTGCAGTTTGCCATTCTACTATCAATGCTGCATCGATTCGGTCAACCTATTGATAGTGCCGCAAATTGGATTTGGTCGGTTTATAGATTTACTCATGCTTTGGTGGTTGAACGTTCGCATGCTATACGACAAAAATTGCCTAGATGGACCTCTTGGTCGGTTGCTTATGCTTTCATGCTCATAACACGTGCTCATGATCATGTCTAAGTATGGATAGATCTATGTGTTTTAAGAGTTTAATTTGTTATCATTATTAAGGTTGTCTTCGATCCGCTCGACCCCCTCTATTAATGATGATGGTTTAGATTTGATGAGCTTGTAAATTCATTTATTTTAAGATAAGTGATTGATCACGTTATATGTATCTGTTTACCTTGGAATCGGCTATTTTACCGATGGCCCATGCATTGCAAGTATATTGGTTTTTATTATTGTACTTGTTCTTGTCTTGACCTTTAAGTCAATACAGAGTATAATCGATGCAAATGCTTTCACTCATATTAGCTTCTCTACTATGTTCTTGCATGTTTTATGATCATTGGCATTAGATTTACATCATTAATATCTGATAATTGCCAATAGTGTTCATTTTTTGATATCTTATACCATGAACATGCTGGATATCGACTATTTAGTCGATAGCTGTATTGAATCGGCTATCTAGCCGTACATTTGGAACTGTCTGGAGCAACACTGACATGTTCCATTCTCTCATTGTCAATTACATGGTCAAATTGACTGACACGCCCCAGGTTCCGAATCGATCGGTCCTGTGTCCTAAGCCGCTGGAGATCCTAGGATCTGCTTCACACAGTTTCTCTCGGCTTGCTACTGTGTACACTGACGGGGAAGAGGGCGACCGTTTTTGCCGTCAACACTAGCAAACCATATTAGTCCATTTAATTATATTGTTAATTAACCACCAAAAACACATATGGCCCGCCATTTTCCTTACCGTGAATATTCTCCGAGTTCCCCTCTCAGCTCGCTGAGCCAATTGTCCGGCCGAGTTGCATTTGTCTTAGCACTCATGTAAAGTACAGCTAGACCATTCGTTGTTCTCTTCTACATTCTGTCGAATATGCAAAGTGCCACCAGATCAAGTGTTGATTGTCCAGCGATTTCATTTTGTTGCCTATCTATTTACTCGGTGTGTGCAGTTTTTGCACACTCGATCCGTTTGACTACGTTTTTTTTCATCGGTTTCTGGACCACTTCTTCTCTTGCATCTCTAGGATAATATTAGAGCTCGTCTGACACATCTTAACACATACTGTGGCCCGTTCGGCTTGCTGAATTGTGGCTGAAAGTGGCTGAAAATACTGTTCTGGCTGAATTCTTGTGAGAGAAAAACACTTTGCCCGCTAAAAAAAAAATTTGAATAGCTGCTTTTCTCGGGTAAGTTTAACGGGCCACTAATTTTAATGATTGGTTCATCTTCTAAATCACCAAAAAACATATTTAAATCATGGGTATGGACACATGCTCCTTATCGATGTTTCGAATCACCGGCTAGTAAATTTGTATTTGCGCGTCTGGCCTAGATGGTGCGCTCAGAGGACACAAGGATTTATATTAGTTCGGACGGAATGTCCCTACGTCTAGTCTGCTGCTGCTCGTGTTACCGTCACTAGTTTATAGTAGTGGTTACAAACGGCCGAGAGATGGAGAAGGTCCCAAGTCTCTGTTGAAAGGATTGAACGAAGTTGAATCTTGTTGAGCTCGTTTCACCATGTGCTCCTCTCTCGGGGCATCCTACTTTTTCTTTTATAAGTGAAGGAGAATGCGTAGGTTACAGGGAGAGAGAAAGAGAGGAAAGGGGGAAAACGAGGGAAAAGAAGGCCTCTAGGGCCGTCGTGTCCTTCTTTTTCTTCATGCGGGTCCCGTCGACGCTGTAGATGGTGACGGGGACGGCTCCACGTCGGGCTCCTGTTCACCACCGGTGCCATGCCCCGATGTCATCAGCCGGTCGTGGCGTCCTATCCTGTCCCGACAGACGGCGTGGTGAACCGGCGTGTCACATGCCGCGTGGCGACGGGATTAAGCGGCTAAGCAACGACCACGCACCGCATTTGTTGGCGATGCGAACCCCTGGGCGTGGCCTGACGTGGCCACATGGACGTGGCCACGGGTCACGTCGAGACATGCCCGCTTCCCTCCCGGTATCGGAAGTTTAACCCTAGGGTCGTACCCTTAGACTCGTAGTGGTTGGAAGCAGTATGGGTCCCCATCGGATGAGACGGAGCCCATGCCCTCAGGGTCGGGCGAGACACCTCCCGTACCCTCGGGGTCGGGCGACACGGGGCCCGTGCCTAAGGGTTCGGGCGAGATGGAGCCCGTGCCCTCAGGGTTGGGCGACACGAGGCCCGTGCTCGAGGGGTCGGACGAGATGGAGCCCGTGCCCTCAGGGTAGGGCGAGACGTCTCTCATACCCTCGGGGTCGGGTGACATGGGCCCCGTGCCCGAGGGTCTGGCGAGGCGGAAGCAGTCCCTTCGGGGTCGGTTGAGACTGAAATACGTCCTCGATTATCTAGGTAAGTTTATCGTCCGCGGTCCTTAGATCCCTTCGTCAGGTATCCCTAATACTGATACTCGACAATCCTTATACTTGCATTGACCATGTCCTCGTGCGAGTATTAGTTTGCACACCATGGGTTGTTACAAAATGTAAACTAGAAGCAAGCAGATTATAAAAACGGTACTAAGGCCAATCTTAATAGGGGTTTCATCAGAGTTTCATGTTCATTAAATATGCTGATTTAACACCGTGTTCATAAAGAGAGATGATAAAAGTTTCATAGGAGTATAGATAATTTTATGACGATGAAACTCTTCTGCATTGTTTCAAAAATATAAATGTATTGAAAACTAGGACATGAAACCTCCACTGAGACTGACCTAATAATCTTAGCATATTACACTACTTAAGGTCTTGTTTGGTTCCCAAGGGATCCTTCGCCTTACCTTGCCGAGGCCAAATTCCAGGTGATACTGGTCCTGTTTGTTTGTCTTATAATTCATACTTTTCAGCTTATTTTTTTAGCCGGAACATTATTTTTCTCTCACAACAAATCAGCCGGAACAGTGTTTCGGCATGTTTTTTCAGCAAAGCGAACAGGGCCACTATCTCAAGGTATGCGTTGGCAAGGCTTTTTCTTGTTCATGTAGAGCCGAGCGGAGCCTCGAGTCCATTCTAAATTACAAGATGTTTCGATTTTATATTCTAGATATATTATTTTTTTACTATATATATAGCAAAAACTATGCCTTTAGAAATGTGAAGATGACTTATAATTTAGATAGATGCGAGAGAGTATTTAAAAAAAATGTCATTGTGTTACCATTTCTATGTACCTAATCTTTCCAAACAAAAAGGAGGGGGAAACCGACGGCCGCTTGGCACCGGCCAGTCCAGGTCCACGCCACCCGTTGGCCTCGATCCCCAGGCAGAGACCGACCGCCCCCGCCCCCGCCCCCGCCCCCATCCCCATCTCCGGAGTCCCACTCCTAAAACCCCGCCAGCCAGCGGTGCCGCCGCCGGTGACATGGCCGACGGCGCCACCCCCAGGCGCAAATCCGTCCCGGACTGGCTCAACAGCCCGATCTGGTCCGCGCCTCCCCCGTCCCCGCGCCACAGCTCCCCTCCCCGCACGGCACCCTCCCCCGCTCAGCCGCCGCCATCTCCCCTGCCCCCTCCCCAGCCGCCGCGGGATTCGACTCCCATCCCTCTTCCCCACGCCCCACACGGCGGCGATGCTTCAGACGACGAAGACGACGAAGGCAAGGGCGCGGGCGCCCCGTCGCGCGCCCACCTCGTCGCTGAGTTCAAAGTCGCGGTGAGTACTGCTGCTCTCGGGGATCGGGATGGAATTTTTACTGGGTGTTGAGTTGGGCAGCAGTTTGAGCTCAATTGGGTTGTTTGTGTTCTTGCATCTTGCCGCGCTGCAGCTGGACAGGAAGGTGGTGGATCTGGCAGAGCTCCGGAGGCTCGCATGCCAGGGCGTGCCCGACGCCGCTGGTATTCGGCCCGTCGTCTGGAAGGTCCGAGGATCACCACACGATCTTCTCAATTCACTGCGTAACTGCATTTATACCCTGATCGAGTGCTTCTCTATCACCCCCTAGCTAGAGAAATGGCATTGCCTATGTTGACTATCATGTTGATGACCCCTGTACTAGTTTCAACCATTCAGGAAGTTATAGGTATAAGTAGTCTATGTGGACGACAGTATGGTTTTGGATGCTTTCATTCAGCTCAATATGGATGGGATAAATCACACCTCAGTGTGCAAGTTTCCTCTGATTTAGAACAGTTTGTGTTTTTTCAAGGTTTATTTTGTGTGTGCTTGCTGGTGTTTGTATTTTCACATAAATTCTATCCTATTTGTTTTTTTTTCTTGTTTACCCGTTGCTGAAGAACTGCTCAGCACTTGGTTTGATATTATTCAAGAACTTCTGGTTAGCTGGGTTGATCAATAATTCCATTTGATTTTTAGTTCAGTGTATATTTTGCGCTTAATAATAAGAAGAGCAGAGGCATTTTTGGCAGTACTACATCATGATATTTGAGGTCTACTGGTTCTGTAGAAACTGCAGCCACATATTTTAGCTAAGCGATTCTGAGAATATAGAATCTTTTTTTTTGTGTGTCTGTAATGTCTAGTTCAATCCAATGTTGCTGGCAGTTCTGGAATAAATGAGAGCCTGGACTTGTCAGTTTGTCATGTCTTTTTTGTTACTTGTGCTGAACCGTATTTGATTGCATGGCTTCTTACTCTGACGTAATGACTATGATTTCTGTGAAGGGCAGGCCTGGTGCAGTGGTGAGAGCTGTCTCACTGAGTCACCAGGTCGTGGGTTCGAAGCAGCCTCTCTGCAGATTTGCGAGGGGAAGGCTTGCCTCGGTTTTTCCCTTCCTCAGACCCCACTCATGTGGGAGCCTCCGGCACTGGGTCTGCCCCTTATAACTTCTGTTTGTGATTCAGTTAAAGCTTAAATGAAATCGCAAAACAAACTGCTAGTATTAAGGTAAACTAGATGGCACATTTGCCGGGTCTTGTAGGGTGGTGGGTAGTTATGGTCTCTACAAATTTTCTCCTTGTTCTGTACACTACAAATTTATTTGACTTTTTTGATAGTTAGCAGCTTCTCTTGGGATACTTGCCAACTGATCGTGCTCTATGGCCATATGAACTGGAGAAAAAGAGGTCCCAATACTGTGCTTTCAAAGATGAACTTCTGGTTAATCCTGTAAGTGCTTGATGCATGTAGTGTTACAAGAGTTATTTTGCATTGCAGATGCGTGTATATATCATTTTTCTAAGAATATACCGAGCCTCATTCATCAGGAATGGATGAAACTTTCATTTCATGGGCAGTAAACTATTACACTTGTGGACAAAGTAACCAATTATGAACATTCTTGTTCATTGTTGCAAATTCATTAATTTGTTTATTTTGAGGCAGCTCTTTGCTCCTTTATCCACCTCTGTAGTAATACATTTATGTTCTGGCCAGTCAGAAGTTACTCAAGAATGGAGGAAATGTCAGTTTCTAAAAGAGAGGAACATAATGCTGAAGGGACTGGTGTGCTACCAAGGGCGGAAATCGTTCGTGATGAGCATCCCCTAAGCCTTGGGAAAACTAGTGTTTGGAACCAATACTTCCAGGTAAATTTACCTAAAATTAATAATTGCTTGCTGGTTTCTCAGGTGCTCATATGACCATATTTTCTATGCTCGGAAGTATATTATGTACACTTGTTTCCTTTCCAGGCTCTTAGGTCTATATAAAATTACAAGCATTGATATGGAATAGAACACCTCTTGCAATGCGAACCAACTTCATGTTGATTCTAAATTTTTATTTGCTATAGTCCTGCATCTTGTTTCTACAATCTGCCTAACCTTTCCCATCTTTCATTATAAACGTAAAAATATTTGGTGTGAATTTCTATATTTGGAGAGTTGGCCATAAAGCATTAGCAACATGCTAATTGAATCCTCATGAACTTAATTGGTACATGAATTGCTTGCTGGTTTTCTTTGTATTTTCGCTACGGTTGTAATTTAGTTTGATTTGATATTGCATTTTGATACTGCTTTTCTGTTGAGTATTGAGAGATTTCCCTTTGGTTTCATTGTTGGTTAGTCAAATTTTGTTGTGAATATCTCTTCTGCAGTTTGCACTACTGAAAATACTGACTATCCAATACTTCAGGAATCTGAGATTGTGGAGCAGATCGATAGAGATGTTAAGCGTACTCATCCTGAGATGCAATTTTCAATGGGGACTCTTCAGATTCGTTGTCTAATCAGGTAGGTGTGTTCTCTGGCATGGGATCACTTTTTTGTTGTCAGTAACATTGTTCAGTTTTCCTAATGCAATATGTTTTGTTTCCAGGAGTCACTAAAGCGTATACTTACAATATTTGCAAAATTGAATCCGGGTATAAGATATGTACAAGGAATGAATGAGGTTTTGGCACCTCTCTATTATGTTTTCAAGAATGACCCTGACCAAAGTCATGCTGTAAGTCCACTTATTCTGATTATTCTGATAGTACAAACATTTATGACATTAAATTTCTGTGAATGTAGCATGTGTGCGTAAATAATGATTAACGATATGCCTTTTGGAGTGTGAAACTAATCCTGGTGCAGCACTGCCCCCAGATGTTTTTACTTTTTCTGGAATATATGAAGGAAAATATAATTTCAGTTCATGTGACAGAACAACTCTCAAATAGCATTGTTCCTTGTGCCTTGTACACATTATGCTTTAGTATAGCACTTAGATGACCATAATTGTCTCATGTTTTACCTGTGAACAGGCTTTAGCAGAGCCAGATGCCTTTTTCTGTTTTGTCGAGCTGCTTAGTGGGTTCCGAGATAACTTTTGCAAGCAACTTGACAACAGTGTGGTTGGTATACGCTCCACAATTACTAGACTATCACAGCTTCTGAGAAGACATGACGAGGAACTCTGGCGGCATTTAGAAGTTGTAACCAAGGTATTTATACAAAGAGCTCTTTCTTTTAGTTGATGATATCAGCGTGTGGTTACAGGTACTTGTGCTTCCAGTCTCATGCTTATCTGGCATCCCAGGTTAATCCACAGTTCTACGCATTCAGATGGATCACCTTGCTGCTAACGCAGGAGTTTAAGTTCCGTGACTGCCTCAGCCTGTGGGACACACTATTGGGCGATCCAGAGGGACCTCAGGTTAGGGAACCACAATTTTTGGTCTTATGCCATGAGATTGTGCTTCAAAGCACGCTAGAATTGGACTAAACTCTTTGTTCGGGTTGCAGGCTACATTGTTGCGGATCTGCTGTGCGATGCTAATTCTTGTCCGAAGGCAGCTTTTGGCTGGCGATTTCACTGCGAACCTCAAGCTCCTCCAGAACTACCCACCCACAAACACCGACCACCTTCTACACATTGCTAACAAGCTGCGAGGGTCGCTTCCCTTCTGATCAATTGGATTCCTTGCATATTTTGTTATCGCATACGGTTTTGTGCTAGACTGTATTATCCAGAGAAAGAAAGATGCATTAGGAACTCTTTAAATGAACCTCCAAAGTACCGCTTGGTTCTCGTGTAGTTTCCGGCTCTATGCTGGATGCTCGTGCGACTTTGCTGTTTGTGAATGTCAACTGAACGAGTGCCATGCACGCATGACGCGCCTCTCAACTTCACTGGAAGTCCGTGAGACCACAGGGCAACAACAACACAAGCATACAGCAGCGTTAGCCTAAAAAAAACACTTCATGAACGTCAAACCACAGTTTGTCCAACGCAGCCTATACCTGTCTTCTCTCTTCAGAGTCACATAGCTCTACACATTGCTTAGTTTCTGCGTGGGAAGAATGTGGTGCCCGTAAGTGAAATCATTCCTGTGTGGAGAGAGAATGAGCTAACCAAACTTGGTCCCAAACGAGCAAACATCATTCTGCGCTTACCAAACTTGGTCCCAAACGAGCAAACATCATTCTAAAGCCACTCACCAGTCACCACAACGTGTTCCCCAATTGTGGCTTCCGCCATTTGTCAGAGGAAGACATGGCTACTTCTAAAAGACCTCCTGACACCATGCGAGGCCACCTGAAGTCTTATTTAGGTTTTGGTAATTAATTACAACATTTGGGGACTAATGGTTTCATATGAGGTGAAAAGTTTAAGTGTGGTCTACAAGCAAGATTTGAGCTACGTGGGGCCGTGAAGGAGAGATAGCATGAGCCATGTGATCCAAAAGCTTAACAAGTAGAAGAGATGGAAGCAAAGATGAGAAGTAATGAAGTGGAAGATAAAGTGAAGGCAAAGACATATGCACTGTCATTGACCAGCTATAAGGTGATTAGTGAAGTGCCAATGGCCGAATTTGATAGGATAAATAACCGTACCATTAAGAGGGGCAAATCAAGTTGTAGACGCGGTTATCTAGTGCCACTTAGTGAGATCTAACTTTGCATATGCATTTAGATCGAGTGGCGATGTGAGTTCAAGTGAAAACATTTGAAAATGATTGTAAAATGCTAACTCAGAGTTAAAGGTGTCGTTCTATGGGAGACCTTTTGGAGCTAGTAATTTGAAAAGGTTTGAAAAAGGAGCTAAATGGATTGTTTTGCATTCACCGGAGATCTCCGATGATGAAGCGTGTTGGTCAGTGGTCACCGAAGCTATGGAACAGTGTTCTCCTAACCACTTTTCAAGAGTGCGTACCTTATCTTCTGGTGTGCACTGGGGAGGTGGCACTAGAGCTTTTGGAACACTGCATTGCCAGGAGGTGGCAAATTAAAAAGAGCTCACCTAAGCTCTTTGGTGTAGCACTAGA